TATCAGTGATGATATCTGTCCAGCTTCAGGTTTAAGTTTTTGGTCAAGGTAGATTTTGATGAAGTTGAAGTCCAATTGAAACTAGCTTATAGTACATGATGTTCCCTATATGATATGATCTTTCTTATTTTAATGCCAAATTACAGTTTTTATCCCAATTTCATGGTCCACGCATTTAAAATGATAGTGCCAGTGGGGCATCTGTGTACTATGGACACATTCTTGTTGTTGATTTAAATGTGAAGTATTAAGTATTTGTTTCTGAATTTCATGAGTTGATAATTGCCTACAATTTAAAATTCAAGAATTTTGCATACATGTGTACCACTTACAAATATTTTTGACATGGATGAGGGTTTAGATGGGGTTTACAAAAAAGAGAATAACGGGCAAAATGTGCAGAATAAAGGTATAAAAAATAAATAGGGAAAAGTAGGCAAACAAAATAAATATTAGAGAATAATAGGTGCTGAAATATAAAGAATAGAGATAAATGGACAAAATTAACAAAAGATTAAAGAAAAACAATCTAATATATGAAGAATAAAGATATATACAGAACCCCTATCTAGACCTTAATAAATCAAGCCATTAACACATAAATGACAAATACCCTGATTATTTTTTTTTTAGGTCAGACAGGAATTTCATAAGTTACTCTTGAACATGTTGAATAAAAAAAGTTTATAAGGCCAAATAATGTACAAAGTTAGAATTTTTGATAATCAATAGATTTTCAGTGAAAAACAGAATTCATAGATAAAATACAAAACTTAGAACCTCAAATTGAAAAATTATAATTGAAACTGGTTTATGGTATAATAGAGCAAAAAACTTTGTAATTTGAACAGAATAGATTATGTGATCACTGTTTTAGAGATGAATTTCATTTCATATATTTTATAGCATTAATATCATCATGATCATTATAGAAAGAGGACAAAAATATATATATATATATATATGTCAATCAACTTTTAGAATCCACTTACATTAACAGAGCGCTTATTTTCCATATAAATATAATAGCCAACTTATGATTTTTTTCTGTTTGTCAACAGTTTTATTTACTATTTAGCTCACCCGACCTAAGAGTCTGTGAGCTTTTGCCATCCCTTTGTCAAATCATCCTCCCTTTTTGTTAATTCGTTGTCAGTTGTACACTTTTTAAAAGATCTTCTCCTCTGAAACTACTGAATTAATTTTAACCAAACTTAGGCTAAATGATCCTTAGGGTATAGATTACATATATTTTGTAATTTTAATCTTGTCCTTTAATTGAGAAACTCTGCATAGTTTGGTCAAAACAATTAGCATTTTAAGATTAATCTGCTCTGAAATTTTCAGACCAATCTGACAACCCTATTTGAAGTAATTGCCCCTGAAATAAGTTTCCACAATTTTTATGTTCTTGGTAACACTGATTGTCATATTGAAAACAATTTCAGATAAAGATAAATTTTTAAACAGCAAAACAGTAGTATGGATCCTTATATGAGTTATTGCCCTTGAAAGACAAAATTTTAATAGATACATGATAGAATTTAGAGTTTCTTGTAGAAAATATGATAGACGAGAGACACTTTAAGTGATAAATATGTTCAGCTAAGTAAGATCTGTGAATAAGCTTTCATGACCGAAATAGTCAATTGATCCTTTATCCTGTTTATAGCAGTTTTTGCCCTTGAAAAATTATTTTTACCTAAAATTATGTTTTTTGCAGAAACAATTATAGAAAGAGAGAAACTTTAACATGTTTAAGTGATAAATATGTTCAGCAAAGTAAGATCTGGGAATAGGACTTACATTATTTAAATCATTAATTGATCCTTTAAAGCAGTTATTTCCCTTGAATGAATATTTTACCCAATTTTTGTCGAGCCTGCGACTTTTGTTGCAGAAAGCTCGACATAGGGATAGTGATCCGGCGACGGCGGTGGCGGCGGCATTAGCTAACTTCTTAAAAGCTTTATATTTTAGAAGCTAGAAGACCTGGATGCTTCATACTTTGTATATAGATGCCTTATGTTACTATGTGTCCGTCTGTCTTATGTCCATTGTCCTTGACCTCATTTTCATGGTTCAGTGACTACTTGAAAAAAAAAGTCAACATTTTTTGTAATGTTCATTTCTTTCTTATTATGAGTAATAGGATAACTATATTTAGTATGTGTGTACCTTGCAAGGTCCTCATGCCCGTCAGACAATTTTCATTTGACCTCGAGATCATTTCATGGATCAGTGAACAAGGTTAAGTTTTCTTGGTCAAGTCCATATATCAGATACTATAAGCAGTAGGTCTACTATATTTGGTATATGGAATGATTGTAAGGTGTACATGTCCAACTGGTAGGTGTCATCTGACCTTGACCTCATTTTCATGGTTCAGTGGTCAAAGTTAAGTTTTTGAGTTTTGGTCTTTTTTTCTAATACTATATGCAATAGGTCAACTATAAATGGTGTATGGAAATATTTTATGATGTACATGCCAGTCTCACAGGTTTAAAAATATTTGACCTTGACCTCATTTTCACGGTTCATTTCTCAGTGTTCAGTTTTTGTGTTTTGGTCTGTTTTTCTGCAACTATAAGCAATAGATCAATTATATTTGATGTATGGAAGGATTGTAAGGTGTATATGTCTGTCTGGCAGGTATCATCTGACCTTGACCTCAAGTTTTCATGGTTAAGTTTGTTTCTTAGATACTATAAGCAATAGGTCAACTATATTTAATGCCTAAATTGATTGTAAGGTGTACATGTCTGTCTGGCATGGTTCATCTGACCTTGACCTCATTTTCATGGTTCATTGGTCAATGTTAAGTTTTCTTGTTTAAGACTGTTTCTTAGGAACAGTAATAAGAAACAGTAAGCAATAAGTCAACTAAGCTTGGTTTATTGAATGATTGTAAGGTGTACATGTATTTCTCGTTTGTTTATCTGACCTTGACCTCATTTTCTTGGATCATGTTAAGTTTATGTGTTAACTTGTAGTAAAGCTTTGTATTTAGGACTATCAACATAAAATCAATGGTTAGTAAAGAAGGCGAGACATTTCAGCGTGTGCACTCTTGTTTTTGTACAGACAACTTTTAACTGCACAAATGTATATAAGACATATATCTTTAAATAAGTCAACATGACCACTTAATGTAAAAATTATTGGAGCTAGCTAAAATACAAGTGTAAATTAGAAAAAATGATCAGCTTGACAAGATGTACAAATTTATCCACCAAGGAATAAAAAGATTACTTTATTTTTATATATTGCCCCTGAAATACCTATTTTTCTTACTTTTAGGAGTTTTTATGCCCCATTTATGGGCATTATGTTTTTCAGTCTGTGCATCCGTTCCTTCGTCCGTCCATATGTCTGTCTGTCCCGCTTTAGGTTAAAGTTTTTGGTCTTTCAGGTGAAAGTTTTTGGTCAAGGTAGTTTTTGATGAAGTTGAAGTCCAATCAACTTGAACTGTTAAAAGTGTTGTCTGCAAAAATGATCAGAATGACAAGATCTATGTCATGTATGTTCTTTAATGGTATTTTTAACATTGATTTCTGATTTTGGAGTTATTGCCCCTGAAATGTTGATATTTACTGTTTTTTTTACAGTTTGGCTTGATATCTATTAACTTATACATATAGGTTAGGTTAAACCTGTTAAATGCAAAAGTGATCAGCAACACAAACAGTACCTATATATATATACAGCTGTATAGTATGTGCATTTAAAAGTCCTAGTAAACTGGTGTTTTGTTCACCAGGTGAGTGATACAAAGCCTCTTGTTTCAAAAGAAATTTTGCCTTAATTCAGTTTTTTAGACATTTCTAGTTGTAGGTTGCAATTCTGTAAATATAGACAATGCAATTTCCCATAGGAACTCCCTTTGCAGCTAAAACTGTGACACTTTTACTATGAAGTTTCGTGAAAAATAATATCCTAGAACGGAAAGTTTATATGCACTACTATTTTATTCAAAGGTCAAAATATAGGGCTGTGCGACATATTTTCAACATTTATATGCCCTGAACTTCTAAGAGTTTAAACTTATGCTAAAATTTTATACTACCCTTACCTCCATTTTTGGACCTCCTAAGAATTAAAATTTAGGCGCTACCATGTTTTTCTATACTGGTTACATTCCCAAGTGATGTCTCTATGAAATGAAACACAGAGATCATAAATGGGAACCAGTAAGTTAACAAATTAACATATCTATGAATATTATATATCTCCCCAAAAGAGGCGTGGTTTGAGAAACAGCTGTATTTACAAAGTGCAACCTGTAACTTATTTTCATAGAAATTGATCCAATATCCACCCATTTAGCATGTTTAGGTGGGAATCATATCTCTGGCCTTACATCATGTACATTATTGATGCAATATTCTGGGTTATTTCGGAAAACCTTCATCAGAGACCATCCCTTTTGTTTTTTGATTCAGCCATGCTGGATCTATGCGATCACTCTGTTTTTGGAGATGGTGCAGAATACTAAGTTGAAGACATGTCATGAAACTAATTATGTGTTTTTATGACTTGCAGAAACTTTCTACACCATTTTAATCATCAACTGCCAACTTTTGACATGTTAATTACCCTTAAATTAAGAAAAGATTGGTCGAACGACCCTTTTATTTTAGATATACACTTGCATATAGTTTCTTTGTAAAGCAAAATTTATAATGATTTACTATTTTTAAATTGAAAAAGTATTTTTACATCAATTGAACCATTGATAACAATTTTGAAAGTATTATATTATTATCTTATGCCTGTGTAAGTTTTTGTTCTATGAAATTTAGGTCAACATGTGTGTTAATATATCTAAGTTGATTCCCACACTTTTTTGAAATGGTATTACTCCAATTCTTTCCATAGGCAAGTAAGAGTCAGTATGATTATAAACTGTCATGATTTTCAAATAATTACACTCAAAGGTGTAAGTATTAATTGGAAACAACCCCAGTCTTAATTCACCACATTTAATATCTCATGACCTGTTACATAATTAAATAGGCACAATTTATTACACACCTAACTGAATACACATATTCTTGACCTCAATAGTAAACCTGCAAATGTCTTATTTATTTTGATCTACACTACATTAAAATATTCTGTTAATTTTGCTAGCTAGCTGAATGATTAATCAGACATGGTTTTTTCGAAGAAAAGACAAAAAATGTAAAAATATGTATAAAAAATGCAAGCAAATTTTATTTCACTTGTGAAATCAGTGTCATTATCATCTGACATAAGTCAAAAATCAAGATCTAATTAATTAGTTACAATTATCAGAAATTTGGTTGAAACAATAAACAAAATTGCTTAACTCTTACCTGAGCATTTTCTGCAATAAAATTTATTTATTTGTTCTACATTTATATCCCATTATATTGCTATTTAACAGTAATTGGAAATATATCAGCATTAGGTATTTGTACATTTAAATTTGAATACAGGAAATGTATTTTTTCTTAATGAAGAATGAACACCAATTTAGATAAAAATTAGTTATTATTTTTTTTCATTTTTGTTGTTGAGAAAGTGCATTTCCAAGGCCTCTTTCTGGAAATTATTAAGCCAGTTATAATTAATGGCATATAAAAAAATGTATTACTTGTTTGACGATTTCCCTTTCCATTCATGTCAATACCATTAAATTGCAAATATTTATAAAAAAAAAAATCTGACAGTCTAAAATTGAAATATCAATATATATATATCATTAATTTAATAATATTTTATTGCATTAATCAAGCAATAGGATTGGACACAAGTTATAACAACTTACATTAAGTCCTCTCCTTACATATACAATACACATATATAATGACAGCAAACACATACATAATATAGCGACAGTTAAAGAAAATAAAGGAAGGAGTCACACATTGGCATGGCAACAAAAAAAGCAAATAGGACAGAAAGAAAAAAAGAAAGCTGCTGACTTAGAACGTTAAAATCTATTTGACTGTTTAATGAAATAACGAACTTTATCAAAAATTTTAGAATTAGTTTCGTAATTATATGCATCTTTTCAATATATCATTATTTGCATCAATATTGCGAAATTCCCTACCTGTGGGCAATAACATAGAAATTTAACAGTAAGATTGGAAATGAAAAGAGAAAAAAATATTGAAAAAAGTATGGTCAGAAAGAATATCAGACTAGCTATGAATATGGCCGGATCACAACATCGACGATGCTTTGATTTGTTTTTATGCCCCCGCCATAGCGGAGGGGGCATTAAGTTTTACCCTTGTCCGTCCGTACGTCCCAAAGTTGGTTTCCATTCTCTAACTTTAGTTTGCCTCAACCAAATGTTACGAAACTTATACACAATACTTATTACTACAAAATACAGATCAAGTTTGAATATTGGTGGTGTCACTTCAACAGTTATAGAGTTATGCCCCTTTACAAATGGAAAAATTGCTGAATTTTTCGTTTCCGTTCTCTAACTTAAGTTAGCCTCAACCAAATGTTATGAAACTTATACACAATGCTTATTACTACTAAACACAGATCAAGTTTGAATTTTGGTGGCGTTACTTTAACCGTTCTAGAGTTATGCCCCTTTACAAATGGAAAAATTGCTGAATTTTTCGTTTCCGTTCTCTAACTTAAGTTTGCCTCAACCAAATGTTATGAAACTTATACACAATACTTATTACTACAAAACTCAGATCATTAACAAATTTGGGTAGCGTCACTTTTACCGCTCTTCAGTAATGTCCCTTTATAACTTTAAATGATATATATGCAAGTTGGGGCATCATCTGTGCCCCATGGACACATTCCCCATTTTTTCAGTTATTTCTTTTTTAATTACTGTTTTACTTTTATTTCTATTCATTTATTTTTTTTTTAATTTATTACAGTTTTAATTTTTAATTTTTTAAATAGTTTTTGAATTGTTTTTTTTTAATTTGTTAATTAGAATTTGCATTTTTATTTTTTGTTTTTCAAACAATTTTAACCAATGTTGAATTAAGTGTTTCATAGTAAGGAAGTGTGGTCTTAAGAATATCAGTTTACATGCGTTGTTTACATGATGGTCATTAATTAGTTCTGCACAGTTAAATGTTAGTAGGAACTGTGAGGTTTATATAAATTATTTTATAGCTTTGTTTCACTTATTCACCAATGTTTCTATTTCTTTTGAATCCTATTGATAGGTTTTATGGAATTTGGCACCTATTGTAGAATTTGTTTTAATAAGATGCAAGTATTTCCTGAATACTTTTTGAAGTTTTCTGCTTGAGAATGATAATTTGTACTGAATGATATATTATATCTATTTTCAACTTCGTTCCTTTTCTAGACATAATTTCATAGAAATTGATCCAATATCCACCTATTTAGGTGAGAATCATATCTCTGGTCTAATTTCATAGACAAAATTTCGTAGAAGTTGATTCAATGTCCACCCATTTAGGTGCAAATCACCATTTTAAATTGTGCTTTCAAGCAGTTAATTCATATGTAAAAAAAAAAAAGCTATGGATGATAAACATTTTCAGCATGAGGTTTAGGCCATTCTGTTCTTATTTCAGATTGACATATATCCATGGGACATGCAGTTAGCCTAGACAAATATGAAGAGAAAGGTCTCTGATTCAATTCTCTGTGAAGTTCAAGGACTTTCTCAGTCAAATATGGGAAGATGTGAAAGGTAAGTTTGAAAGTTTTTAAGTGTGCATAAATATGTTATGTTTAACAAAATGTGCTGTTTCACAATTTAAATACTATCAAAACAACTCCTGATTGCTCAACATTAAACTTCTGAATTATCCATGAATCATCTTCATGATTGTCCCACATTATTTGCTCACCTGACTGGTTTGGTCAAGTAAGCTATTTTCATCACTTGGCATCAGTCATCCATTATTTTTTACAAAAATCATCTCCTTTAACCACTGCAGGGCTCAACAATAATGCGTGTAGATTGTCCGATACCAGAGGAAAAAAAGGTCGGACAAGTAAAAGCCATATGATTCTTGTCCGACGGGACAAGTTAAATCATTCTGTATAAAAAAAATATTAAATCCAACTTTGACGATAAAAGTAATTACAAAAAAACAATAAAAGAAGATAAAAGCAATTATTAATTTGACATGTTTACTTGCAACCAATAATTTAATACTGGTTCTTTGTCAGATACTTTTTAACAGATAAAACGCATACTATCGCATACTATCGCATACTATCTCCGAATCCGGTCTTACTGCTTTGTAGATAAGGTAGTAACAAGACAGTTTGGCACCAGCACGGAAACGAATCGGCTCCATGTGTAATCAACAGTTTGGCACTGTAGGAGATATTTTGGGACCAAGACAACCCAGTACCTCATTTCCTTTCCTTATTCTGTTGCTTTATAATAAATAAGATAAATTTTATTTATCAAAAATATTTTTAAAATAAACATGAATAAATTATTGACTATTAAATTCAGAAAATTATATTTGATCATATGTAGACAAAACAATATTTGATTGTAGTCAGTCAGGGGACTTACTTAAATGAGTGATTTTCTAAATCACTGATTCAAGTAACATTATGTCCATAAAGGTTAGAAGTAAGAGTTGTCTTTCTTTAATAATCACCTATTTAAGTAGTACAAATTAATCACTAGACTAAGTGATTTAATTTTATTGTAGCTTTAAATATAGAATACTAATGATCCAGGGACCGATTATGTTGCTAAAATTATCAGAACCAACATCTGTGTTGATAGGATGAGTGGGTCATGTCAGGTGATGACCTTGTACTAAATCTAGGATAATGACATAAAAATCACTTGTTTAAGTATCATACCTTAATTTCCTACCAAAAAATCACTCCTTTAAGTATCATTATTTTAACAACCCCCACTAATTTCAACACCCCCGAACAGTGAAATTTTGATCGCGAACAGTAGAATTTTATTACATAATCTATAAGATGAAACCTTGAATTTTACAGGAAAAATACTCCCACTGCTGGGAAAAATCTGTTAAGAAAGTATCAGTTCATTATGTAAAGCCATTTTTATAGCATTTTTATACGACCGCAAAAATTAAAAATTTTTTGGTCGTATATTGGTATGACGTTGGCGTCGGCGTCGTCGTCGTCGTCGTCGTTGTCGTCCGGCGTCGTCCGAAGACACATTGGTTTTCGCACTCTAACTTTAGTTAAAGTGAATGGATCTCCATGAAATTTTACCATAAGGTTCTATACTACGAAAGGAAGGTTGGGATTGAATTTGGGGGTTATGGTACCAACAGTTAAGGAATTAGGGGCCAAAAAGGGGCCAAAAATATGCATTTTTGTAACTTCCAGACAATAACTTGTGTGTAAGTGTATGGATCTCTCTGACATTATACCACAAGGTTCCATATCACAAAGGGAAGGCTGTACTTGATTTTGGGGGTAATTGCCTCAAAACATTAGGAATTAGGGGCCAAAAAAGGGGCAAAAAACAAGCATTTTTCTAGTTTCATGACAATAACTTGTGTGTAAGTGTATGGATCTTTCTGAAATTGTACTACAAGGTTCCATATCACAAAAGGAAAGCTGGGTTTGAGTTTGGGGGTAATTGCCCAAAACGTTTAGGAATTTGGGGCCAAAAAGGGGCCAAAAAACGTGCATTTTTCTAGTTTCCAGACAATAACTTGTGTTCAAGTGTATGGATCTCTCTGAAATTGTACTGCAAGGTACCATACCACAAAGGGAAGGCTGGGATTGAGTTTGGGGGTGATGAATCATAAGGGGGTTCAAAAAATTTGGGGGGGGTATTTTTTTTTTTTTTTTTTATCTTTTTTTCCTTTTTTTCCTTTTTTTTTTCTTTTAAAATTTTCCATTTTAAGTTGGTTATTTCTGATTTATATTTAAAAGCAAATAATAATGATATGGTAGGAGATACACACCAAACAGGATGTGTAAATTATTATATAATAAGTATTGTGCAATAGCAAGAAATTTTCAATTGCACAGTATTCAGGGTTTAAGCTAGGATTTTGAGGGCTTTAGTCACTTTTGCGCGGGATGAAAATCAACCTTATTTTGGGTAGCAGCAAGGGACTTAAGATGTATATTCCTATCTATACATATAATATGATGATATTTGTCAGACTTTGAAGGACTTAGGCATATTAGGCAGTTACTGCATGATTTGACTGATATGGCACTTTAATACGAAGATAAGGATATAAGATCTAGCAAACTAGTTCACAATTTCACTTCAGTTAGTTTCAGGGTACATTCCTAATCAGCAAAAGTTGGGATCCATTTTTTTTAAACCAGGAATCACAGCATAAATGAACTTTTAAGGACTATTTCACTGCATTATTCATACTCATTATCATTAAAAACGTTTTAAAGCGATATTTAGAATTAATTCTATAAAGTTGGAACCAAGCATTTGTACAAATCCTTATTGGAACAATACTAATGACTTTAAAATTGTAAATTTATCATGAATAGATCACGTTTACTTTCGATATCCAAATGAAATGAAAACGGGAAGTAACAAGTGGATAATAAATTCAGAATGAATCGGGATTCATCTACAGTTTGGTTCGTGTTTAAAAAGGCAGGAAATTATTATTTTTTAAATTAAATTTGCTAAATAAGAACTATATTTGTTTCTCTCGTTTAATTTGATACTTAATTATTTCGTATTTTACGTTTTAGTGTCTTTAAATTCACGAGAAATACTTCGCACATGCGCAGTTCATCGTAAAGGAAGCACCTGTTTGACTCGTGAAAACATTTCTGAATGTTATGAATAAAGTCCTATCTTTTTGATCGAAATTGTCGAAAGTTTTTGATTAAAAGTTATATCAAAAATGACGAAAATACGACAAGCAAATTGTGATCGTTTGAGAAATATTGAAATTAAAATGCGAACTGTCCGATGGAAAACTCAAATGACGAAACTACGACAAACGAACTGCAAATTGTGCTCGTTTGATAAATATTGAAATTGAAATGCCGACTGACTGATTTTACTGGGGAAAATAATTATGATGATCAATTATGAGTTTGATAAATAATTAACGATTAGTGACCCATCCGATGGCGATAAGCGGATTATCTGTAATCACAACTTATAACACCTGTTGTTAATGTTAATTAGCTCAGGGTCATAAACTTGTCAGAAACAATAAGACAGGTAGAATAATTTATAGTATTTTCATGCGAAAATATTTTTACTCTTCTCAAATTTAAGTGACGAAATTAATTTGGAATACTTTCGTCATTTAGAAAACCATTTCGTAAATGACGAAAATGACGAGCGCTAGCAAAATCACTGAGTCAGTATTGCACAATAGCAAGAAATCTTCAATTTCACAGTATTGCGCAATAGCAAGAAATCTTCAATTGCACAGTATTGCGCAATAGCAAGAAATATCCAATAGCACAATATTGCGCAATAGCAAGAAATTGTCAATTGTACAGTATTGCGCAATAGCAAGAAATATTCAATTGCACAGTATTGTGCAAAAGAAGATACTTCGTATAAATTGCTTATTTCTTGATCAATTTCAATGGGGTTTTATTCTTGAATTCTTGGGGTTCTTTAATATGCTGAATCTAACTGTGTATTAAGTTTTTGGATTTTGGGCCCCGTTTTTAAATTGGTCCACATTGAGGTCCAAAGGGTCCAAAATTTAACTTTGTTTGATTTCATCAAAAATTGAATTATTGGGGTTCTTTGATATGCCGAATCAAACCGTGTATTTAGATTCTTAATTTTTGGTTCCGTTTTCAAATTGGTCTACATTAAGGTCCAAAGGGTCCAAAATTAAACTAAGTTTGATTTTAACAAAAATTGAATTTTTAGGGTTCTTTGATATGCTGAATCTAAACATGTATTTAGATTTTTGATTATGGGCCCAGTTTTCAAGTTGGTCCAAATCGGGGTCCAAAATTAAACTTTGTTTGATTTCAACAAAAATTGAATATATGGGGTTCTTTGATATGCTGAATCTAACCATGTATTTAGATTTTTGATTTTTGGGCCCCGTTATCAACTTTGTCCACATTGAGGTCAAAAGGGTCCAAAATTAAACTTTTGTTTGATTTCATCAAAAATTGAATTCTTGGAGTTCTTTGATATGCTGAATCTAACCATGTATTTAGATTTTGGATATTGGACCATAATAGGTGAATGTCCAATTTAAAATTTTTAAGTTCTTAGACCACATTCATTCTGTGTCAGAAACCTATGCTGTGTCAAATATTTAATCACAATCCAAATGCAAAGCTGTATCAAGCTTGAATGTTGTATCCATACTTGCCCCAACTGTTCAGGGTTCGACCTCTGCGGTCGTATCAAGCTGCGCCCTGCGGAGCATTTTATTTCAACTAAAATAGAATTTGAAGCTAAATGATTGCATCTAAGGCATAAACCTTCCTGCTTAAAAGAAGCAAAAAGTTCATTTTTTTCAATTTTACTATTTAAATGAAAAGATATTATCTAAACCTATGTGT